GCTCTGAAAGATCTCATTTTGTATAATTATATACTCATTCGTATTTATAAAACATTTTCTAGGTTATATTATTTTTTATTTATGTTATTTAAATTTAGAACCTAAATTTGGTATCGATCAAAGTAACATTTTGTCGAATAACACTTTCCCAGTTATAATTTCCCAGCAAAACAACGTTTGCCGGGTTAGCTAGTATATTTATACTATGAATGAAACATTGCTCGTTGAAACCTTGGCCTTAAACAAAAGTTATAAAAATATAAAAATGTTTAAATCTTTTTATAATTATCAATTAATCAGATAATAAATTATGCACTACTAGTTACTAAATTCTTACATCCAATACATAATTTCCATCAAACCTACGTAATTATAATTTCCATCAATAATTCATTCGAGGCATAAATTTGGAAGTTATGTACTTTATTGACATTTAGACCTGCCTTAATGCACTTGTTGCACATGTAATAGCAATTTAATATAATTATTATTTGCGTATTGTAAATATATTGTTGAACAAGTTTTATTGCGGTCATTAAATATTTTTTCTATTACGGAAATGTTGTCTTGTTTCTTGTTGCATTATGCGTAAGCAAGAAAAAAGTTATATATTTAAATTGGATTTATATAATTCATTTGTAAGAATTGTTTGTTAAAGGGTACTCTGGAACTGTCTTTGCCAAAAACTAACTAGCACGTCTTCTATCAATAAGAATTGATCATTATTTGATTCATTAAAATCGGTTGATCCGTGCTCTTTAAATCGTAGACGAAAAATTGTATCCGCACCCACTATTTTTTTCTAATGTATATAAAAATGTTCAGAAACCTTTGAAACGTAAAGATATCCAAAACTAGTTTCAATTTCAATTTTTGGACGATTACAATAACTTACTCTACGGTAAGTTAATAAAATAAAATTCAATTAATTTAATTGTGATACTTGCATCAAAATTTGTACTTCACAGCCCAATATTTTTATTAAAACTAACAATTTCTTATATTCTCCATAGTAGATTACTTAATGATATATTTATGTAATAAAAAACAAAATATTATATCACTGATAATCATTTATCAAATTGATTTATAAAGCCCTTAGCCCTATTTCATAATTTATGAACTCTAATAATAATCCAAGGTTGATCTTATTTTCATTGCTAAATTAGACATATGTATATTATATATATATATATATATATATATATATATATATATATATTTGAATAGTCTTGAATTTGATGTTGATATATTTGTTTAATTTGAGTTTAAATTCGGGCGTAACATCAATAAAAATTATTATTATTATACTATTACAATAAAATTAGTGTGTTTTACTATTTGTGATGTTAAAAAATATATATCTTATCAATGTGCACATACTAATACAATGGATTAATAATGGTTTCATATGTTATATTAGGATACAAAATTTTAATTTGATTACCACTGAATGATGGCTAAGATGCTAGCCGAAACGTATGGATTTTAAATAAATAAACTTTTAAAAAAACTCTCATACTATTTTGATGTTACGCCCGAATATTAAACTCATATTAAACATATATATATATATATATATATATATATATATATATATGTGTGTGTGTGTGTGTGTGTGTGTGTATAATATACACATATTCTGGAAATGTTTATATGCATCAAAATATTAGAAATAAGAGCAAAAATAATTTAATTATTCATTGTGTACGTTTCGATACCGTATGTGTGTCATCATTCCGCAAATTAACAAATTTAAATCTGGAAAAACCACACAAATTTTAATACAATGTTCAAGGAAAAAACTAATTTACTAAAAGTAAATCAGTAAAATTATGCATAAAACAAAATTTCTTGATTGATGACGCACATACAGCGTCGAAACGTATCTAATACTTGAATCATTATGTAATCTAAAATTTTTATATATAAGAAATGAACTCAAAATATAAAAATTATAAATACATAAATACATAAAATATATGTGTGTCATCATTCCGCAAATTAACAAATTTAAATCTGGAAAAAACACACAAATTTTAATACAATGTTTAAGGAAAAAACTAATTTACTAAAAGTAAATCAGTAAAATTATGCAAAAAAAAAAATTCTTGATTGATATCGCTCATACAGCGTCGAAACGTACCTAATACTTCAATTAATCATTATAAAATCTAAAATTTTTATATATAAGAAATGAACTCAAAATATAAAAATTATAAATACATAAAATTATTAGAGTAAAATTTTAGCTTATTTTGCATTTATAAAATCTAAATCAAGTAACTTATAAAAAATTTATATTATTTTTAGAAAGATCGAAATTTCATATTAATATTTATTTAAATAAGATGTACTTATGAAAATTTCTCAAAATAATTTCTCTAATTTCGATTTATAAAAGAATCCACGAAAAAAACTACCAATTTTCTAGCTCCTACCAAGGTGAGAATTTACAGAAACAATTTGTTTAATTCATTTAGTTTAGCTGCAAATATTATAGAAATATATAAATATAAATAGGTAAATATAAATATAAATAATAAAATACTTATATAAATAATAAATATACTTTGTTGAAGTTGTTCCTGTAAAATTTGTGAAAATCCTCAATCTTATCAATTGATCTTATTCAAATCCAGAAACCAATCTCCAATCATCAGTATGCCATATTATCTGCACATTCAAAGTTAATTTAAGTAATTTTAAAATTCTAAGTTTTATCCGATAATTGCTTGTGAACTGTGTTGTAATAATTTTATTTTTGTGAAAAAAAAGTCTGTGAAAAACACGATTTGTATTATCAAATCTTTTGTACCTCTTGCCCATTGTGCATGAAGGAGGACAAAGGCGATAAATGTGGGACATGTTTAGGGGAATCTTGTGTAAAATGTGTTAGAGGCATTTGAATTTGATAAAACTCTGTACAACGATAGATTTTGTAGCCTTAAATAACATACTAAAATATTATAGTGCTGCGATAAGCGGTTGAATTAGGAAAATTCATCAAAGTTTCAAAATACATGTGTGCGTGTGTGGATACAAATTTTTGACCACAATTTCGGGCTTTCCGTACAACCGATTTGAATAATTCAAAAAATATGCCTATGGATAGAAAGACGTGTTGATTAGTTTTAGGCAAAAGCAAGTCCAGCCGTTTCGGAGGTGCGAAGCAAAGAGTACAGAAAATAGAAATCAAGTTTTTGATAGTAGGGAGCATCCGATTTGAATGATTCGAAAAACACTGAATTCGTAATGATGGGAAAAAGTGTTTGGCAAGGGCAGGTCTATCCGTTTTGGAGATTCAAAATGGTAGTTTTTGATAGAACGAAGCATCCGATTTGAATGATTCAAAACACATGTTGCTTGTGTTGACAGTGAGAAGA